TAAATGCAAGAAAGAGTTTATTTGAACCTAAACATACGACGATATGAAAACGTTTTGGCACTTAAATGCTTGAAATTATTGAAGAAATGTTTAAATACAGTTTATAGATGAGGCCATCACCCATAGCATCAAGAATTGACATAAACTTTGCTGGCAACGTGCGAAATGATCTCAAAATGAAACGCATAAAAACTTGAGAAGAAATTAAAGACCATAATAAAAACAACGTTTTTGACATGCTGGATATCTGTCAAGAAAAGTGCAACAAAGTAATTTTGGAACTGCAGTGAAACGCAATGTGAGCCATTATCCACAAACAGAAAAACTAATAGAATGGTGGCGAACCACTCCAAGAGTGACAGGCTTATCAAAATGACTCAACTCACCCAGAAGGCCATAAAAGGAATCCAGAACAACATCCAAAGCACTGCAGGCTTCATTTGCTCCAGTTAAACTCAGTGTTTATGATTCAACAAGAAGAAACAGAGACCAGGCAAAAGTGACATCAATGGGAGAGACCTGAGGCAAAAACAACTGCTTACCAAAGGAATGAATAAAACCAACAAAAAGGCATGTCTCAAGATTTGCCAAAAAACATACTGGAGAAATCCCAGACTTTTTGGAAAGTGTGTGGACTGGTGAGACAAAATTAGGACTTTTTGACATTCCCACTAATCAAGCATGGTGGTGGCAGCTTCATTCTGTGGGACTGTTTTATTGCCAGTGATAGTTGATAATTACAAGAATTCGGTGACATAATGAATATAAAAAGATTGCTGGTAAATTTATTAACTTCACCTCAAATCTGCCGCTCCAACAGAATGGTGATTGATTTTGAAAAGATAAAGATAAGCCTTTAAAAATTCCTGATCTCAAATATAACGGTCATGTGATCTAGGCACACTTTTTAAAGGCGCGTATGTCTGTATTTGAGCTTGTACGTACCTCACTCTGTGATGTTTTCTGCGTCTATTTCTTCCTTTTAGAATTTATTTTGGAATTCATTAAACATGCAAGTTTGATCATAAATCCTCTGTATGCAAACGGGTGGAACTGCAGATAGATATTCATCGTCCTCATCCAGTTCTCCACATATATGTGAATGGTATGTTTACTGTTACGTAAACCACTTCAGAGAATCTCCTTTCATCTCTTCCTTTGGATTTCCATACATTAGTCAAGCCATTCTTCCGCTTCTGCTAAAGTGAACCTTCATTCAGCACCCAGTCGACAGCGAACAGACCCCCCCCAACTCATCCACACAAGGCAAAAATAAAATTTTAATTACGTAAAAAAATAAAACACGGTGTAATGACAGGAAAAGAAAGCGATTAGAGCAGAAGCTCGGTGGCGAATAGAGAAGCCTGCTGCGGTTGAAAGCGTGATAATTAGACATTTCTTTCTGAGTGCCAGATACAAAGATTCGCTAATGTGCACTGAGCACAACCGGGGACGCTCGTGTCCATGGAATAATGTCTAAATTTAACTTTTGCAAAAGGCAACCTGGTCTCAAACACTGATACAACACCTGCCAAGAACACAGATTTAGAAATATGTGTTCAATGTGCATCCATGGTAAGTAGCAGCTTTGGCATGCGCCTCCTCCTTCTGTCTCTTTTCTCTGTATTCCATCTGAATGTTGCCAAGAAAGCAAGTAATTTGCACTCTTTACACGTCTGGCTATTATGAAGCACAATGACAGTTGACGTCCTCATATGATAAGAACTGCATAAAACTGAACTCAAACGTGCCAACATGTGTTCTGTCCACAGGGGGCAATGTGCTCCACATTTAGGCTCTATTATTGTTTGGCTCATAAATAGGCAGATGATGACAATCGTCACGACCAAAATGTTTTTAACCCAGGTATCTTCAGAGTAGAGCATCTGTTTACTAATATGAGTTGAGTCGGTGCAGGAGGTTTGAATTGGGGCAAATCACACAGCTGTCCTTGGAAAAACCTGAGTAGGTTTACAAAGTCTGTAACAACAAAGACAGAAAACTAATCAAACAGCTCTGCAGTCACACAGCAAGCAAACCTAATCCATCACTATCAGCGTGGAAGACAGGACGATAAGTGAAAATAGACAGCAGAAAGTCCAGGGAACGTTTTTGAAGATGCACAGAGAGAAAGCAGCAGATGAAATGCAGTGGTGAGACGTGGGTTGGAGTTTAGCAAAGGCTTACAGAAGCAACAGATCACAGCCAAGAGGCAATTTAGTTAATGATGCCAAAGCCCTACCTCTAATCCAACCAAAGCCAAGCTAAGTTTTTCTTGAACATACCCAGAAAAGCCCCAAAACATTCAAAGATATAAACCAATGTCTGAGGTTAAAAGTTGTTTGGGATTGATCAAATTTCTTGGTACAGTTGTGACAACATTTTTGGGTCTTTTTTTTTCTTTTTTTTTTAAAGAAAGATAAAAACATTTCTAAAAAATGTTGCAGTTAGGATTAAAAATGTTAAACATAAAAAAAACTACATTTTAGTTGGCCAATGTCGTTCAGCTGTGGATGATTATAAATCTATTTTATTGTAAATACAGGAGCTTTGTTTAGAAGCAACCGTAATGAGTTCCTTGGTGTTAGCTCCTAAAGCTAATCCTCGCTAGGCTAATAGGTTTTGAAACTGCAATATGACGACATTTTGGTTACAAATGTAACTTGTACTTAAATGACTTTTATGGAAATTAAAAATTATTGCTGACAATTTAAGTATTAACCAAACATTACCATTACTAAGAAATTGATAAATAAATTGAAACTTTATTTGTACTACATAAAGTTATAAGTATCTGATTTTATATGATTTCTTGTGAACCTACAGTTCAAATACAAAAATACATGAAGTTTATTATTCTAAACTTACTACAAATTCTTTGAAACAGTTTGAAATTTTGGACACTTTAATTCTATTTGTTAAAACACATTAAAGTGTTTATTTAAAAAAAAATTAGCTAAAATTTATTTGGCTAAGTACATTTTTTTTAAATTACAGATTTACTTTTGTAAAAACATGAACACTGTTGGTCATCTCATGTTTTTATTTGGTACAAATTCTGAGGAGGCTCTTTTGACCCCAAACTTGTTGATTCATGACCCATAATTGGCCCCCTGACCCCAACTTTAGAACCATTGTTCTAAATTGCAGCAGCTTGGATTTCCTGATTATAAACTTAAGCTTAAAAGCAGAAAATGTGCATTCCAATCACAAATGTCGTATCATTTCTTTCATGAAATTGCAGAACTGAAACCCAAAATCGACCTTCTCTCATGTCATGCGTCCGTAAGATACCAAGGCGACACCAGCCCACTCTTCAAACAAGTCCAATTACAGCTGGGAGTTTAAAGTCAAGCCAGAGAGCTCATTTAAACACACAGTACTGAGTAAAAGTGAACATACTCTGTTGCTCCTGCTTTACAGCAAAGCATTACAACCTCAAATTCCTCCAATTTACATTTCGTCAGATGCATGAGTAGCTGTTGGAATAACAGAATAATTGTCCTTATCAGTAAAAGCAGAAATTATTTCCTCTCCACATCCATCCATCCATACAGCAACAAGAGTCATCAATTCCATACAAACCACTGGATCATGCAAATTGAATTTTCTTTTAGCATCTCAGGGAAATAAAATGGTCAGGCTCTAAAACCTATCTCAGCCAACACCAGTCACCCCACCGCTCTGATGATCGACACTGAAAACGAAAAATCTGCCCCCTTCTGCCAGAAACCACCAAGCTGCTCTAAGTTGATGTTTTGTTCAGGAAAAAGTGAAACGCGGTGGAGCCAAACACGATGACGGTACCAAGAAAACAGTGAAATAAATATCGCTCCCTATTAGATTTATTGAAAAAAAAAAAAAAAAACTACATGTATATATTTGAGTGCACGTCTTTGAAGATCCGAGCATAAGAAATTATATTTATGATAAACAAACACAACCTCATGTGAAAGACATGTTGTTCCAAATCCAGTCTGTTGCGCCGTTTTACGCACATCTGGCGAGGCTGCGACGCAAATCTTTATTTCTCCCATCTTTTAAAAAAACGAGCTCAACATTCTTGGTACAAAATTTACCATCACTGCCCAACATTTGGCGGATTGAATCAGTTGCATAAACGGGAACTATATTGTCAGCGCGTCTCTTTTAAGCGTCAGTTTGGAATGATGTATATTAAAAAATGATTTTATTAAACACCGCTAAGCTTTCTGGGTCTGTTTTCAGCTGCTGCACATTCATGGATTTGGGTTTTATGACATCAAAAGATGAAAACTTGATTCTGATCCAATTGGTTCATGAAAAATAAAATAAGTTTGTTTTTTTCTAGGAGATGCGAGGGCGCGTGTGTCCAGAGCGCACCGAGAGCGCAAAATCCAAACAGGCGAAGGAAACATCTTGTAAAAGAAGTTCAGCAGACTGGGTGGGAATACCGGGACACGCTGATGTTTAGCCCGCTTCAGACAATCAGCATTTGGGTTCGCGCGTAAATTTGGCGCAGAGAAATCCATTGAGAAAATTCGCATTTGCGCAGATTCACAAAATGCCCACGTCCATCACTGGAGTCGGTATGGCACAGGCAGCGGAGGATCAGGCATCAAACATTTCACTTACATCACCGCTAAACAAAACAAACAAACAGACGCGTTTTTTTTTCTTTCTGATCATCTGATCAATAAAATGATCAGGAAAACTTGCACGCCTTTGTGTATTTTCTTCAGGTAAGTTTACAACCCAGAAACGGAGAAGAACAACAACTTTATAAAATTCTCCAAGATTTCATTTTTACCCTGGATGCTAATTAAACTAGAAATGTGGCGCTCAGCATCTAAAAAGTCTGAGCTTAAATCCTCCTGTAAAAACTGATCCACCCTATCTGTCAGAAAACAGAAGGGAATAAAAACGCTCAATTTGGAGCTTTTAGATAAACCAGTTTCTGGATGCGCCAGGATGCAGGTCGGCTGTTGCACATGAGTGAGGGGGAACAGATCGAAGCTTACCCGCGCATATGCTGTCCCGATGGCGTCTTTTGGGTCGCTTCATGCCACCGTGACTGCATGTCTGAGGACATGCTTGTGGAGTCGAGGTTCTGGAGACGAGAAGCGCGTCGGCTGCACAGGAGGGAGAGGGGAGAAAGGGGGAGGAGGTGGCAGAGAGAGAGAGAAAGAGAGAGAGAGAGAGACAGAGGGCGCAAGGGAAAAGAGAGGAGATGTGAAAAGTGAGGAAGCATTTCCAGGACTGCGATGAATCAGTTATTATGTTCAAGAAGTGGAGACGGCGCGTCATTAAAATAAACCAAATCAAAGGTGAAATAGATTTGGTCAAAATCACGACCACTGCTCACCTTTTAAAATAGAAATTAAACTTGTAGAAAAAAAATACACCCAACAATAAAGCTCTTAAATATAATGCTTTATCAGTTTTATTCCATAGTGGATCTTGTTCCCTCTGGTTTAATTAAACACATTTCTTTTAATTAATTAAGTTATGACAAAGTCATTTTTTTCTTTTCCTTTTTTTTTAATTCTCGCTTACTTTTTATAATTTTAAAAACTGCTCAAATCGAGATTAGCAGCAAAAAAAAAAAAAATCAGAATGTTTTACTGACATCTACTGGGGGAGAACTTAATGCTGTTGTTTCCCATGTTTCACTATGTAAAGATGAAACGGCTGTAACTTTATGCTCTCATTTGGGAGCAAAAACCTCCATTAACTTATGCAAAAGAAAGCAAATGGAAACTTGCTCACAATGAGCAGATAACTTTTTATTGAGCTCTGTGATGACCTCAAGCTTCGCCTTCCTGAGGACAACATTCACCTTTCATATTGTATTCATTAGAATAAAACATAAGAAACTTAGAATTTACTTTCTATATTTCACATAAAGCCTTTTGTAACTGCTAAATATGTTCCAGTATTAGAATATTCTGGACATGTTCAGCGCCGACTGTGCTAAGTGAACTCTACCAGCATGCTGGTCTGGACAGAACAGCCAAACCTAAACCTTCCCGTCTTCGTTCAAATCCCGGATCCTGCAAATCCTCCATCAGGAACGAGGAGAGACCAGTCAGTTTCAAACACCAGAACTAATAATCTCTCGCTCATTTGAAGGACATTTCTGTTTTATTCTAATGAATGTGCTTCAAAATATAGGCAAATATACGTTTAAATGTATTGAAATGTAAGAAAAAAAGTGTCTTTTGAAATGTGCCATTCTGTATCAGCAGTAAAAAATAATTGCATTAAGTGGAAGTTGTTTAGGTTTTGCAAATCTACTTTAGCTCAATTATTTGACAATGTAGCTGAAAAATCTAAGTCGGTGGTTTTCCAAAATGAAGTATATGTAAAACGGGAAAAATGAGGGATTAAACAATGCACAAAGTGCAGGTTGTTCTCATCTTGTCACAGATGTTTGACGCATTTTGACGTGTTTTCACAGCGTTAGAGCAGCTCCAGGAAGGGTGACGCCGAATGTTATAAACATGACAAAAAGACCTGTCGGCTCGCGTTCGGAAACCTGAAGATCAGAGCCAAAAACACAGCAAATTCACCCACCACATCCTATTCACAATACATCTGCAGCACATGACTCACTGTTTAGGCTCACAAAATGTTCCTTACTCATATAAGAGTGTGTATGTGTGCATGTTGGTACTGAAAACAGTCGCCTTATTGGCTGTGGATGGATCATGTGCTCCTGTGTTATGCTAATGAACATGACGGCCTCAAAGGCCGGCTTGAGTGCGCTGCAATTAGTTACAGAAAATCACAGTTTTAATGGACTCTATTTTTGCTAAATTAAGGGAGACGGTGAACAAAGAGTCATCTCGTGCACTATCATGTAAATGGGAAATACATCGGATATGTGCATGTAAAAGTAAGTGCTAATGAACTTTTTTTTTTTTTAATCCACAACCTGTGGATTTTGATCTTTTCCAGCCGTTCCATCCAGGATGAAGGGATGTCTTTATCAACACAGATGGAGATTTGTCTTTAACAGAACTCATCCTTACATTAGTAAATTGAAACACCACAAATCGACACTGTAGATAAAACAAGTTCACAGGCTTGGACCTAATGAAAACATTCAAATCTTTGCTAAAATTACTGTAAAGCAGAAAAGAAATCTGAGATTTGACTCTGGAAATAAGTTGATTCATGAGGAACAACAAAATGGAAGCATTTGTTTTGATATAGAACCACAATAAATTATTTGCCAAAAAGGTTAAAATCTCTTAATATCTTTCTTTATATGTTAAAAAAAAAATTTGTGGATATTTATTGGTTTTGTTTCTTGTGGGATTTTTTTTTCTTATATATGTATAAGATAAAAAAGCTGCAATTTTATGATCAATTCAATGGGTAAACTTTAAACTTTTTTTGAAAAGTTTGAGCCGTTTGTAAGAATTACTTTTAGTTTTATTAGAAGACGAGTCAAGGGAAGACCAAAAACGTCTTTTGTCTCTTGTTGTTTTGAAAACATTTTTGTGTCTTATTAACAATAAATAATGCAACCTGGTTTATGGAAGATTTCTCAAAGCGTTGGGAAATGTGAAACTGACGGAAAGCCGGGGGTCATGAGGTCAGGATCACATGATGGACAAAAATACAACCGGCTCTCCAGAGTGCCGAAGATTTTTCTTTTAATTTTGAAGAAGTCTTTCCAACAGGTCTCTGGCACAAAGGTCACAGCATCAGCAGTTCGGTCAGTGTCTTTATCGTTCATCAACAGTTTTACAACAGTTTACAGTTTTTTTCCAAAAACAAAAGTTTCAGTTCAACAGATGTAGACAATACCTCTTATAAAGTTTAGTTTTAATACCTGAATAGTGTGTTTACAAATAAAGCAATACAATCAGCCGCTGTGATTATTTATTTCACACAAACACTGACTACAAACTAATACAGATTTGAAAAAAATACAAAACAAGGCGAGTGAAATCCTCCACCCTCATCATGAGCTGAACGGTCTGAACCAATCAGGTGGATGTTGGAGGAATCCCTCAGGTGAACTCGTTTCCTGTCATCATGTCTGCTCTCTGTGGATGTTGCCTTCAGGAAGTCGGCCTCAACAAGAAAGAGGTTAGTGTATTAAAAAAAAAAGATGCGTCATGAAGTTCAATTCTCATTTTATCGTTTTAAATGTGATAAAACATGATGAGATATAAAAGCTACCTGCATTTGATCACCTGATTTAAAAACTACAAACATATTTCAACCTATTTTGTGCAGCTACTCTAATTGACAAGTTCATATTTACACAAAAACTTCAAACTTTTCAGTTCTCATTTTGTTCTTTTTCTTCCGTCTCTGAGTGTTTCCAGCTAAGCTGCTACACTTCAAATCTGCATTAACGTCACTGATCTCTGAGCTTAACTACCTGAAGTGAAGTTAAAGTCTGCTGCCAGTCACAAGGAGCACTTTAGAGCACTTATTGATTACTGGGCTGTCCATCAATGCACAGCCGTCAAGGGGCTCCAACTTGACGCTGAAAAGCATGAAGTGCCAGTTTATTAAATGCCAGGAAATAATTCTCATGATGTCTTGCAGGAGCTAACAGTAATGTTATCGTGTCCTGAAGACTGGTAAGAAGCACCTATAGTTGAGAAAAAAATAAATCAGACTGGTCAGTAATTGTCCTCCTTTTACTGATAAATGTATGTTAGAAATTGGATTTTTATTCTTTCCAAATTTTGCTTGAATTAAAATATTGAGTTGGACTTCCTGTTTCACATTGTCCAGTTTTGAAGAATTTTTCCAACAGAATTTGATATGCTTATTGTTCTGGGTTGTTTTGTATTTCTTCTTCATTTGTATATATTTTTTAAATTTATTCACTGGAGCTTTCCTCTCTGTCTCGTGTCCTTCACCTGTAATTAGTTCCAGCTGTTTGTTTCCTCCTTGATTGCTCCAGTGTGTATGTACGTTCTTACCTTTGTCACAATCTGCATCACCACTGACCATATGTTTGCACAATTCGACATTTGAAAAATACATATAACATGAATTGAAGTGTTAAAATAAATGTGCATATTGGAAACATTCTAGATTGGGAAAAGGTTTTGATGCTTAGATTAGATTGTTTTTGGGTTTTTTTGGCCGAATAAAATTGCAGTGGAAACCAGTTTTTTGCGCTACTTGTGATCAGCAACCCGACAACCAGCATCAACTTACCAAATTATGACACATGGATATCATCTCAAATATATTTATTTTTATTTTTTTGTTTGCTCAAATAGAAATGCACCTTTTTAACTTTACCACATTTTCAATAAATATTCTTCTCAGATCGATTAAAAAAGGAAGGATTTTTGTTATGATGTCATCTTGTGCTACTTGGTTTTTGGCAAACTACTTTTCTATTCTTTTTAATCCTTTCTGATTAAATGTAACAAAAAACAGATGCAGAAAAGAGAGGACATACTGAAGGTGAAACGATAAACAAAACCAACTGAGACGACAGAAGAGCCAATCCAAGCAACTGTCATACAAGCTAATTAATTACCCTCCTGATTCAGCAATGAAATGACAGTCTTCATTTTTCTGAATCATAATCATCGTTGCTCGCTCTCAGAAATTACATGTTTTTCTTGTCCTCGGGTGCAAATCTTACCTCCATTTCCTGTTTGCCGTTGTTTGAGTGAAGGGAGTGTTGTGTATGCATCAGCCATTTTGAAGTATGGTGACTTGTCTCCTGCTTGTCTAAGACTTGCTGAGCTTTTGAATGTTTGCAGTTGGCAGGCCCATTAGCATGGGAAATGCTCCACTTCATCAGGACCTGACACACCAGTCACGCCTAGGAATCCTAAAAGCGTTGTTTGTTGCATATTTTCCCTCCATTTTCCCTTTCAATACCAAAACCAATTTAGCCTACTTTTGCACATTGCTCAAATTTGTTATAAACGACTGTATATACATTTGAAGTGCCATTTATAACTAGCATGAGAGATTACTTTTAATCCCTCTTTGACAATTTAATTTCTTTCCTTTTTAGTTTTTGTTTCAACCAACAAGATGCTGCTGCTTTGGCTAAACAACACAAAGTGCAAGCTTTACCTTGAAAGTTAGTCAATGGCTTATTTAAGAAAATCTCCTAAACTATTTTTTTTTTTTCAATCTT